CAAAAAAAAAAAAAAAAAAAAAAAAAAAAAAAAAAAAAAAAAAAGACCCCATCTCTTAAAAAAAAGAGAGATGTAGGGAGAGATTTTACCACAAAGGAGAAAGCAATGTGATAAGCAGAGAGAGATCTGAACATGCCACACTGCTGGCTCTGAAGATGGTGGGGGATGGAGGGATGGGACCATAATCCAGGGAATGTAAGAAATGCAGTTCTAGAAGCTGGAAAAGGCAAGAAAAAGACTCTCCGTTATATCCTCCAGAGAAAGCATGACCCTCCTGACACTTTGACTTTAGGTAAGTGAAACTCATTTAGAACTTGGGACTTCCAAAACTGTGAAACAGTAAACTTGTATTGTTTTAAGCCACTAAGCTTCTACCTTGTAGTAATTTGTGAACAGCAGGAGCGTATACAGGAACTGAATATAAACATCACACAGAAGTGTGTTAAGTGCACTAATATTAAGTATACCTTGATGAATTTTTACCTATGTACACATTTTGTACTATAACCAGATTAAAATACAGAATATTTGGGAGGTAGAGGCAGGCAGATAGCTTGAGCTTAGGAGTTCAAAACTAGCCTGGGCTACATGGCAAAAGCCCATCTCTACTAAAAATACAAAAATTTGTTCGGTATGATGGTGTGCACCTGTAGTCCCAGGTACTCAGGAGGCTAAGGCACAAGAATTGCTTGAACCTGGGAGGTGGATGTTGCCAAGTGAGTGAGCCAAGATCATGCCATTTCACTCCAGCCTTGGTGAAAGAGTGAGACTGTTTCAAAAAGAAAAAAATAATATTTCTACCAACTCAGGATTCCAGCATCCCCTTGTACCTTTCTCCAGTCAATGTCCTTCCCTCAGAGGTAACCACGAATCCAACTTATTGCCAGTAATTGGCTTTGTTTGCTCTTCACATAATCAGCATACAGTATGAATTCCTATGTGTCTGGCTTCTTTTGCTCAACAGTGCTTTTGAGAGTCATTCATATAGTGTATATTTAAAATAAAAAATTTTACAACAGGTAGGTATAGGGATGTATGCCAGTATCATAGCTACCTACTCGAGAGAGTAAAGTGGGAAGACTGCCCAGGAGTTCAAGGCTACAGTGTGCTATGCTCATGCCTGTGAATGGCCACTGCATGCCAGCCTGGGAACCATAATGAGACCTCATCTCTTTAGAAACAATAAATTAGCTGGGCGCGGTGGCTCAAGCCTGTAATCCCAGCACTTTGGGAGGCCGAGGTGGGTGGATCACGAGGTCAAGAGATCAAGACCATCCTGGTCAACATGGTGAAACCCCGTCTCTATTAAAACTACAAAAAATTAGCTGGGCATGGTGGCGCGTGCCTGTAATCCCAGCTACTCAGGAGGCTGAGGCAGGAGAATTGCCTGAACCCAGGAGGCGGAAGTTGCGGTGAGCCGAGATCGCGCCATTGCACTCCAGCCTGGGTAACAAGAGCGAAACTCCGTCTCAAAAAAAAAAAAAAAAAAAAAAAAGAAACAATAAATTGGCCAGCCACAGTGGCTCATGCTTGTACTCCTAGTACTATGGCAGAAGGCGGGAAGATCCTTTGAGCCCAGGAGTTGAAAGAGTAGCCTTGGCAACATGAAGACCCTGCCTCTACAAAAAATAAAATTAGCTGAGTGTGGTAGAGCAGGCATGTGGTCCCAGGTACTTGTGAAGCTGAGGTGGGAGGATCAACTGGGCCTGGGAGGAGGAGGCTGAAGTGAGCCATGCCTCTGTACTCCAACCTGGGTGAAAGAGATCCTGACTCAAAATAAATAAATAATTAAAAATTTAAAAACTAGGCTGGGTGCAATGGCTCATGCCTGTAATTCCAGCACTTTCAGAGGCCGAGGTGGGAGGATCACGAGGTCAGGAGTTCAGACCAGCCTGACAAACATGGTGAAAGCCTGTCTCTACTAAAGGTACAAAAATTAGCTGGGCATAGTGGCACGTGCCTATAATCCCAGCTACTTAGGAGGCTAAGGCAGGAGAATCACTTGAATCTGGGAGGTGGAGGTTGCAGTGAGCCGAGATCACACCACTGCACTCCAGCTTGTGTGACAGAGCGAGATTCCATCTCTGTCACCCAAGGAAAAAAACCCAAAAAGTCTGGGCGTGGTGGCTCACGCCTGTAATCCAAGCACTTTGGAGGCCAAGGCAGGCGGATCACCTGAGGTTGGGAGTTCAAGACCAGCCTGACCAACATGGTGAAACCCCGTCTTTAAAAAAAAAACCCAAAAAACTAGTGCTTGCTTAGACAGCACATATGTTAAAATTGGGACAATACAGAGAAAATTACTATGGCCCTTGTGCGAGGATATACACAAATTCATGAAGTGTTCTATGTATATATTTAAAGTTAAAAAGCCAAAAAATTATTATACACCCAACTCAGGAATATTTATTAGACTAAAAAAGTAATTCAATATGATGAGGCACATTTTAGAGCAGAGGTTGAATACTGCCGAAAACAGTCAGCAATATGGAAAAGTAACCTTGAAAAAAAATCAAATAATATGAAATTTAAAAATTGAAAGTGATTAGAAAAAAATATGAAAGATAGACAATAGAGCATAACTGATGTTGCTGAACCAAGAGGCTTGAACAAATAAAAGAGAAAAATATACAAATTAACAAAAAAAGACAAAAACAGACAAAAGTAATGTACACTTTCAGAAAAAAATTGAGGCTGGGTGCAGTGGCTCAGGCCTGTAATCCCAGTACTTTGGGAGGCTGAGGTGGGAGGATCATCTGAGGTCAGAAGTTCAAGGCCAGCCTGACCAACATGGCGAAACCCCATCTCCACTAAAAATACAAAAGAAATTAGCAGGGAGTGGTGGTACATGCCTGTAGTCCCAGCTACGAGGGAGGCTGCGGCTGGAGAATTGCTTGAACCAGGGAGGTGGAGGTTGCAGTGAGCCAAGATTGCGCCACTGCACTCCAGCCTGGGGAACAGAGTGAGACTCCATAAAAAAAAAAAAAAAAAAAAAAAAAAAAAAAAAAGATATTATGTTGTCATTCACGGCTAACATACACAGTAAGCAGAAGCTCAAGTACATATAATTGATTATGAATTTTAAAAAAGCCTGGTTACAGAAGGAGCAGGATTGAAATTTCAAAATTAAAAAAATTAAACTGGAATAATACACTTAGAATTTACCTGTGGAGTGAGATGTAGGTTTGGAGAAAAGAAATTTAGTGTTTAACCTGATTTTTCCTCTGAATGGTTTGGGTTTTTCAATAACTGTTTTATAACAATTTTTACTCAAAAGCGAACAAATATTCACACAAATTTCAAAACCTTGAAGACAGAAAATGATCGCAGGACCACAAGGAGTCAAACAATGTAAAACCTAAGTTAAAAAGCACATACTGTTTTAGAAAGTTCACTTCCAGATTCCATAATTCGCAAACATAAAGGGATAATTTCTGTTGTCAATAAAAAGTTGATTACTTCTTGTTCATCTGTTTTCACCAGGGCTCCTAAAGAAAATATAGACAAACAAAATTATTTTACAGTCAGGGTTTCCAGTTAAAATTAACTTTGCAGTGTTTATCCAGTGAGTTGTGGAACTTAAATAACATAAAACACAAACTGGGGTTTCTTAGTTAAGGGGATCAGATTCACATTCATGTTAAAAAAAAAAAAAAAAAAAAAAAAAAGAGGAAGAGGGCAGCATGGTGGCTCACACCTGTAATCCCAGAACTTTGGGATGCTGAGGCAGGTGGATAACTTGAGGTCAGGAGTTCAAGACTAGCCTGGCCAACATGGTGAAACACTGTTTCTACTAAAAACACAAAAATTAGCCAGGCATGGTGGCAGGCTCCTGTAATCCCAGCTACTCCAGAAGCTGAGGCAGGAGAATTGATTGAACCTGAGAAGTTGCAGTTAGCTGAGATCACACCACTGCACTCCAGCCTGGACAATAGACACTTACTCTCAAAAACAAACAAACAAACAAACAAAACAAAACAAAACAAAACAAAACAAAAAAATGCTTTCTGCACTAAATTGTCTTTGCACCTTTGTCGAAAATCAACTGACCACGTATGTGTGGGTCTATTTCTGGACTCTTCATTATGCTCCAATGGTTATTCCGTAAATCTTTCTTTTCCCTAATATAATACTGCTTTGACAACTACAGTTTTCTAGTAGGTCTGGAAATCAGGTAATATATGTCTTCCAACTTTGTTCTTTTAAATAAATGTTTGGCTTTCCATATTAATCTTAGGATCAGTCTATTAGAAGGCTGCCATAACAAAATACCACAGACTGGTAGGTTAAAAAATTGAAATTTATTGTCTCATGGTTTTAGTAGCTGCAAGGCTGAGATCAGGCTGTGCACGGTGGCTCATGCCTGTAATCCCAGCACTTTGGGAGGCTGAGGTAGTTGGATCACCTGAGGTCAGGAGTTCAAGACCAGCCTGGCCAACATGGTGAAACCTCATCTCCATAAAAATACAAAAATTAGCCAGGTGTGGTGATGCACACCTGTAGTCCCAGCTACTTGGGAGGCTGAGACAGGAAAATTGCTTGAACCCAGGAGGTGGAGGGTGCAGTGAGCTGAGATCACACCACTGCACTCTAGCCTGGGCAACAGAGCAAGACTTTGTCTCAAAAAAAAAAAAAAAAAAAAAAATGTCTTGAGACTAGCATGGTATAGTTCCCATAATGGCTCTCTTCCTGGCTCATAGATGGCCACCTTCTAACTATGTCCTCACATGGCAGCAAGTGAATGAGGGAGAATAAGCTCTTTGGTGTCTCTTCTTAGAAGAATCATGAGGGCCATGTCCTCATCTAAACCTAATTATCTCTCAAAGGTCTCATCTCCTGATACATGACATGAAGGGGTGGGGCTTCAAAATATGATATTTTTGGGAGGACACAATTCAGTCTGTAGCAATTAGCCTGACAATTTCTAAAAAAAAAAAAGGCTGCTGGGATTTTGTTGGAATTACTCTGATCTATAGATCAGTTTGGAGAGAACAGACAAGTTAGTAATACTGAATCACTGATACACCAATCAATGAACATGGTTTATCTCTATATTTTATTTCATTAGAAATCAGTTTTGTAGTTTTTAGTTACAGATCATGCATATATTTTTTGAGATTCATACCCACATTTTAACGTTTTGGTGCTTTTATAAATGGTGGTTTAAGAAAATTTCAGTGGGTGCAATGGCTTACAACTGTAATCCTAGCACTTTGGGAAGCAAAGGCAGTAGAATCATTTGAGCCCAGAAGTTTGAGACAAGCCTGGGCAACAAAGTGAGACCTTGTTTCTACAAAAGGATAAAAAAAACGTAGCTAGGTGTGGTGGCATGCGCCTATGGTCCTAGCCTCTTGAGGCTGAGGTGGGAGCATCTGTGTTAGCCCAGGAGTTCGAGGGTGCAGTAAGCCATGATCATGCCACTGCACTACAGAGTGGGTGACAGAGCAAGATCTTGTCTCAAAAAAAAAAAAAAAAAAAAATTCAATTTCCTATTGTTCATTGCAAATATGGAAATTTTTTTTTTTTTAAGTAGAGACAGGGTTTTGCCATGTTGGCCAGGCTGGGCTTGGACTCCTGACCTCAAGTGATTTGCTGCCTCAGCCTCCCAAAGTGCTGGAATTACAGGCATGAGCCACCTTGCCTGGTCATAACTGATTTTTTAATATGCTGACTTTGCATCCTGCAACCTTGCTAAACTTACTAACTTTAGTTTTAGTAGTTTTTTTGTAGATTCTTTGGGATTGTCTATGAAATCATATTGTCTGTGAGTAGATTTGAAGGTGCTTTATTAAACGGGAGTAGTGAGAACGAACATCTTGCCTTGCACTTGATCTTAGGAAAAAAGAACTCAGTTTTTCAACATTAACATTTTTTCATGCTCAAGTTAATGTTTCCATATACACTTACTATGGAAGATATAGGTAAATAATGTATCAGCTATTTCAGCTCTCAGATTCCTGGGTATCAAAGAACTATCTCTGGACTTATGAAATGTTAATCCATTCAAGCCCGTTTTTTGTTTTGTTTTCTTCTTCTCTCAATTTTTTTTTCTTAAAATTATAAACCACAATCAGGGAATATAATTTAAAAGTTTGGCATTAAAGGAGTAACCATTGTCTCATATAATCAACATAATTCCAGTCTAAAAAAAACATTTATATCCTTTACTCATAAATGTATCATCTAAGTAGGATGACTTTAGTTAGAGTTAAGGATATAAATGTTTTCTCAGTCAGTCTCGTTACACCTTTCTCAATTTTACTGACTCTTCCCCAAATAATCAGCTTGTCTGTCTTTATTATTAGTGTAATGCTGGCCTTGCAGAGTTGAGAAGTGTTCCCTCCTTTCTATGTTCCGGAAAACGTTTTGTAGAATTGGTTTATTTCTTATTTATTTATTTGGTAAAATTTACTAGTGAAGACATCTGAGCCTGGAGTTTTTTATGTTGGAAGGTTTTCCAACAAAAACAATGTTTTCATAGATATAAAACTATTCAGCTTACCTGTTTTTTCTTGAGTGCAATTTAGCAAATAGTCTCTTTCAAAGAATGTTTTCATTTCATCTAAGTTGTGAAATTTTTGAGTATAGAGTTGTAAGCGGTATTCCCTTACTTTCTTTCTAATGTCTAAAGAGCCTGAGATCTGAAATAGCTGATATATGATTTTCTTAAGTAAAAAGTATTTTATCCATATCCCCACAGTAATGTATTCATACATTAACTTGAGCATGAAAAAATTTAGGTGAACTGACAGATTCATACCCTGGAGTTATGGGAAAATTACAGGTTTTCAGAATGCTTAGTATATCTGACATACACATTCTTAGGGCATTCTTACTAAGCATTCTGGTATTAGAAGTAAGAAAAACAAACCAAAAAAGACAGTGGTGTGTGCCCATGCCCATGGTCCCTATTACTTGGGAGGCTGAGGCAGGAGGATCATTTGAGCCTAAAGGTTCAAGTCCAGCCTGGGCACTATAGCAAGACCCTATCTCTTTAAAAAAGAAAGAACTCCCAAATTTAAACTCTTATTCCTTTATTAATATTCTTTATATATCGAATGAAGTTCTTATTCTTTACTCTCCCTACAATCCGGCAAATGTTTCTACATATATGCTGAATTTAATCCCAAATGTTAGGTCTCAAAGCCTTATTAACAACACTTAGAAGACTGCTTGATAGGAGTCATCGTGTTCCTGATACTTAGTGAATTATTAGTGATTATTGGTTAGTGAATGAGACAACCTCAAAGACAAAAATGAATGACTGGTGTACAAAAACCTTAAGAAGCAAGACAAAACACACAACTTAAGACTACTACTGTGAGTGAGGATTTCAGGCTTGCAAAACAATTCTGATAACTTACCAATAACTCCAAGGCTGGTGAGTCGAAGATACTCAAAGGGACGTGTTTTGCTGACAGTGTGCAAAAAGGGGTACAAAAAAAGTGGGATGTGTGCTGCGAGAAACGCTGACCTGGAAGAAAAGAATAATTACATTCACAACCTAGAGTTGATTTCTAAGGATCCTCAACACTGAAATTTCTAGGTGGTTAATTCTGTAAGGCCCTAACATTGCCAGAGCAAGGAATCCTTAGGAAACAATATTACTGGTCATTAGTCTCAACAAATGGTTCTCAAATGGGGTAAATTTTGCCCCCTGGAGAACATGTGGCAATGTCTGGAGACATTTTTAATTGTCACAGCTCAGGATTATGGAGCACTATTGGCATCCAGTGGGCAGAGGCCAGAAATTCAATTAAACATCCTACAATGCATAGGACAGTCCCCTCCTGCCCTCTACTTTCCACCACAAAGATTCATCCAGTCCCAAATGTTAGTGGTACCAAAGCTGAAAACCCTAGTCTAGGTCACAATGGTTAAGAAAACACACGATTTTCCCTGCAATCAGCAGAAAGTACCTTAAAAACTGATTAACTTAAACTGTCCAGTGGTGGATTTTTTTTTTTTTTTTTTTTGACAGGGTTTCACCATGTTGGTCAGGCTGGTCTTGAACTCCTGACCTCAGGTGATCCGCCCACCTTGGCCTCCAAAGTGCTTGGATTACAGACATGAGCCACCACGCCCAGCCCCAATGGTGGATTTTAAAAAACAGATCACAAAATGCTATTAAGTGTCCAAGAGATTGTCTTAGATTATATGACTGAATAATAGCATTTACAGGTGCAGTTGAATAAACCTTACAAAGTAAGATAACAAAGCCAAGCTGCCATTATCAGGCTTACCTGCTATACTTTAATAAGCACATTCTTCTTTTATTGTTAGGTAAAACAATAAAAGAAATTGTTTTACTTAACAACAAAAGAAGAATATACAAACCATTCTGAAAACAATTCAGTCAGCCAACTAATATGGAAATCAGTCTATTATTTTACATTTTTATAGTCATACCTTGTAGAAGAGCCAACACCCAAGATTTTTAACACTCAAAGTACCCTTGTGTTTTTGTTAAATGCTTAAAAGTAATTTTCTTAATAACTCCTCTAAAGCTGTGTAAGGTCAGTGCCAAGCTGGCATTCATAGTTCATAAAGAAACTTGACAAAGAGGAAAGGTTTTAGTAAGATGTCTATTAAGTGCTTTTGGGGCCATAAGAGCCACAAAGCAGATTCCTCAACAGGATTTCCCTTTTCTTAATTTTGCAGATATGACAGGTGGCAAAAATATTTTAACTCACATGACAATTCCCATCTATTATAGAGGCCACCCAGAACGCTATGTTAAGAAGGATTCCAAAGTGAAATCTGGGTTCAGTTGGGAAAAAGTGTGGAAACAGCATTTACTAGACTCCTTTTGTATGCCATGCACTATGCCTTGCAGATGATATAATGCCAATAACGGTTAGGAAGTAAGAAGTAGCTATATGCCTGCTATCTTGCCTGTAATGTGAATACTGTTTCTTTAAAGTTCACTGGATAAAAGTAAATAAGAATCTGGAAGATACACACACGCACACAAACAAACACACACATGCACATTCTACTGTGTGCCCTTCCTTTTACTATTCAGAGAAAGTTTAGGACCATATTTGATATTTGCCTCCTCCAAGTGACTCACCCAAAGCATTTACCTGGTTTCTGGATGTGATGCTACACATTGCAGTAATGCCAGAGCATTGCAAACTCTGTTAGATTGGTGTGCTGTCAAGGTGGGTGGATTGATGGAAGGATAAATATTTACAATTTCCTAAAAAATGGAAATCAGCATCAGATGAATAAGGAATAACTAAAAATTAATTCCCATGGTAATAAAGCAAAAAAAAAAAGGTAAAGCAAATACCTCTTAATTCTGTGTGTCTTGCAAGAACTGAATCATCAAAGAGGGAACAGAAATAATGCTCATATCCTTTCATCACAAACTTACTTGGCTGAGACTAACTAGCTAAGACATTTCTACATTTGCCTCTAGGAAGATTTCTATGGCTATGCTATGGAGGCAAATGCAGTTACCTACACTTCCTCTTATATTCTCCAGCTATTCAGGCTATCACTTGAGGGATACTCAAGTTTTTATAGTTCCTCCTTTTGCTAGCATCCTGCTTTAAGTTACAGTGATGAGACTGCAGGCCAGAAAGTGTTAAGACAATCACAGTGACTCAAGGAAGTTTGAATTTGGTCAGGTAGTAACTATAGTAAGGACATGAATCAATGAGTGGGGATATGTATAAATAGCAGTGAATATATGTACTCTCTGTAAAAACTTAATGACTTAATTCCATTTACTTTCTATTTTTTGAGACAGGGTCTGTCATCTAGGCTGAATGCAATGGCATGATCATGGCTCACTGTAGCCTCCACTTCCTGAGCTCAATTGATCCTCCCATTTCAGCCTCCAAAGTAGCTGGGATTACACGGTTGCACCACCAAGCCTGGCTAATTTTTGTATTTTTTTTAGAGATGGTGTTTTGCCATGTTGCCCAGGCTCATCTCAAACTCCTGGGCTCAAGCAATCCTCCTGCCTCAGTCTGTCAAAGTGTTGGGATTACAGGCATGAGCCACTGCATCTGGCTATACTATTCCATTTACATTATTTGTAAAACATTTACATAGAAAAACATTCCCATAACAAAAATCAGTTTCTTGGCTAAATGAAGTAGAGGTGGAATGTGAATTTACTTAAAAGTTGAAAGGTTAATCTAATTAGGAATTTGGGGCAATACTTTAATGGGTAATCATGCGACTATCTAGGTATTTTGGCATTATATCATATCAATTAATTAGCCACCAATGACCATTCCAACCAAACTTCAGTTATCTATTCTTTAATGCACAAGTGTACCCATCTTTAATATTTCCTTTCCCTGGAATATATTGTACCTTGTGGTCCTTATACCTTACTTTCTACCTTCCTTCCCCTGTCATGTAGATTTATCTTGCAGTACTCCTAAAGCTGTGTTTGTCAAAGTATAGTTCTTAGATCACCTGCATCAGAATCACCTGGGGGTGATTAAAGTGCTTATTAAAATTTAAAATACAGATTATAGGGCCCACCTCAGACTGACTAAATTGAATCTCTTGGGTAAGGACCCAAGAATCTGCATTTTAACAAATACCTCAGACTTTTCTAAAAGAGGTTCTTAGGAATGCTGTTTGTTTTTTGTTTTTGTTTTTTTGTTTTTGAGATGGAGTCTTGCTCTGTTGCCAGGCTGGAGTACAGTGGCATGATCTCGGCTCACTGCAACCTCTGACTCCCTGGTTCAAGCGATTCTCATGTCTCAGCCTCCTGAGTAGCTGGGATTACAGGAACACGCCAACACGCCCGGCTAATTTTTGTATTTTTGGTAGAGGCGGCGTTTTACCATGTTGGCCAGGATGGTCTCGCTCTCCTAACCTTGAATGCTGACTCTTAAAGAATCATCCTTCTAAAGCCTTTAAATCATATGGGCAAAGGTAAAGAAATATACAAGTGTGATGAAAAAAAACTGAACTGCCAATCATGGACACGAACCCACCTGTAAAAGTGCTGCAATAGTACCAAATGAATGCCACAGCATGGGTGCAAGGTCAGGAACAGATTCTCGCTTCTTACTTAGCTCCAGCAAAGCATTTTCCCTTGTCTCAGGACTGGACAGCTCATTGATCCACTGATAGATCTTTTCTCTATCCACTTGGGCCAATGCAGTAGGCACAGGCTTCAGATGAAGACAAGAAAGTAAATGTGAGTTTATTAGAGGCAAACCAAGTCTTATCCTGCAACAGAGCTTTAGAGGAAATATATATTTCATGAATACCACAGGAGCTTTTCTAAATACATATATCTGATGTTAATCTCTCTGGCAGTTATTGATGAAAATCTAAAATGCACACATGCCCTTTGAATTCCATGTTTAGGAATTTATCCTCTAGGTATAATTAGGCTGTACTAAAGACAAACCAGGATGTTTACTGTTGCACTGTTTTAAAAGCAGAAAACTGGCCGGGTACAGTGGCTCAAGCCTGTAATCCCAGCTACTCAGGAGGCTGAGGCAGGAGAATTGCCTGAACCCAGGAGGCGGAGGTTGCGGTGAGCCGAGATCGCGCCATTGCACTCCAGCCTGGGTAACAAGAGGGAAACTCCGTCTCAAAAAAAAAAAAAAAAAAAAAAAAAAAATACAAAAATTGGCCGGGCATGGTGGCTCATGCCTGTAATCCCAGCACTTTGGGAGGCTGAGGAGGGGCAGATCACTTGAACTCAGGGAGTTCGAGACCAGCCTGGCTAACATGGTGAAACCTTGTCTCTACCAAAAATGCAAAAATTAGCTAGGTGTGGTGATGGGCGCCTGTAATCCCAGCTATTCGGGAGGCTGAGGCAGCAGAATTGCTTGAACCTGGGAGGCGGAGGTTGCAGTGCACCGATATGGTGACACTGCACTCTAGCCTTGGGGACAGAGCAAGACTGCATCTCAAAAAAACAAAACAAAACAAAAAACACCAAAAAACAAATTAGCCAGGTGTGGTAGCGTGTGCCTGTAGTCCCAGTTACTTGGGAGGCTAAGGCACTAGAATCACTTGAGCTTGGGAGGTGGAAGCTACAGTGAGCTGAGATAGCACCACTGTGCTCCAGCCTGGGCGACAGAGTAAGACCCTGTCTCGATAGATAAATAAATAGGCCGAGCGGGGTGGCTCACGCCTGTAATCCCAGCACTTTGGGAGGCTGAGGCGGGCGGATCACAAGGTCAAGAGATTGACACCATGGTGAAACCCCGTCTTCTTAAATAAAAAAAAAAAAGAAAAAAGGAACAGATAAATAAATGCAGAAAACTAACACATCTCTCTCAATAAAAGACTGATTAAATATGTATTGATGCAGCTTTATAAGGTGATACAATATAGTCCTTTAAAAAAAAAAAAAGCTAGCCGGGAGCAGTGGCTCAAGCCTGTAATCCCAGCACTTTGGGAGGCCGAGGCAGGTGGATCATGAGGTCAAGAGATCGAGACCATCCTGGTTAACACGGTGAAACCCCGTCTCTACTAAAAATATAAAACATTAGCTGGGCATGGTGGCACGTGCCTGTAATCCCAGCTA